CGTGAACTTCGTGGCTTGTTATATGTCAAGTACCTAAAAACTTTATTTATAGTTTTTTCGTACAAATAGGAATATATATACATTTTAATCACTCGAATTACAAACTTTTTGCTTGAGAATGAAACACTTCTAACAATAAAAAACCGCCATATGATAGGTAAATTGTAAAAGAAAGGATATGTATACAAAATCGTTGTGTTACAAACTTGTAGTCTTCCAGATTTCCTTCCGTCGACTTTTCCTGCGTACGTAACACTTGTATAATTCCAAATGGATGAGGCATCGCACGCGGTTTCTAACATGTGGCTTTGTGAAAATTACGACGTTGTTAAACGACAAATCTGCAAATTTTAGAAAGTTCCTAGACTTCTTCAAACTTAATGCCTTACGTGTCACCCTATGATTGATCCACCATGGTCATTTGCCGGCTCCCACCTTCTAGAATCTCGGATCAGTTTTCAGTATATATAGAACGTTGCACACATCAATTCCTACAAACTCAATATCTCCACTTCTCTCTTAGTAATCTTACAAGATTATTGATCATATTCTGTATTTTCAAGGTGCTTAATTTAGAGAAACCGTATAATCTCACAGAGATCATGATGGTGAAGGAGGTGAGCTACATGCACAACTGGGGTGAAGTTGCACCGACCCTTTCATATCTCATCAGAAATCTTCGAAATGTCCGGAGCTGGAGACAATTGTTGAAGAAGCGGGACCAGTTGGACCTCAGATTAACATTGAAATTCTACCGTTTTCAAAGAGGGCGTTGTTTCTGGTTCCAGTGTTTGTTTCTTGTATTTCTTATTTCTTGTTGTACAGATATGATGTTTGATTCTTGACTGGTGTACATGGAATAGATTGAAAGATCGAGGGTAGATTCATCTCCGAAGATATTTAGGATTAATTGCTAATGGATCCGGATTATGTATCATAGCAGATTGATTAATTTCATTGCAATGTACATGCTCATGGCATTCACATTGGAAAGTATAAAGGCAGATTCTTTGAATTCATGAATTGATAACATTTTGCATTTCAATCTTAAAATTTTGTTATTGTATAAAGTATTGATCACATGATGACTGTATGTGGTCTCGTCTTTTAACAATGACATTACATGATCTTGCTCTTTGATGATGACTTTATGTGGCTTCTCTATTCAACGACAATCGGTGTGGATGCTGATTCGGATATGTTGTGTCTATCGTGTTTAGTGATAGATTTGCATTGGTGTCATTTGTAGTTTTGTGCATGTGGTAGCCGTTTAGGGGTTTTACTCGTTGTGTGTTTGTGCAATCAATTTATTGGTTTGGGAATGGAAAATCACTTGTTTTCCTATGTTTTGTAAAGGGAAATTTTATTTGAACCCAATAACCTCTTTCTACACCCAACTTAAACTTTAATTTTAATTGTCTTTTTTATTTTATTGCATAATTGCCATCAAGTACAAAATGAAATTAACAATAAAACTAAAACTTATCAATAAACCCACTGCATAATTAAACTCTAGCATCACCCCTTATTTCATCCACATAATCCATGTAATGATTTCATTCGGCCTTCTAGTGTATGCATGGTTCTTTCGTTTGATTAAATCACTACAGATACAGTACCAAGAATGAGACATGATTCATTCAAGCCATGAAACTGGCTACCACTGAAACTTCATGTACTTCTGGTATGGATAGATTATATGAAACTTCGCCTGAGAAGTCCTTTAAGAATTGATAAAGCCATTTCAGATATGAAAGAGTAACAATATACCTAATTGACTGAACTAATGTTAATAAACGAATGGGAGAGTGAGAGGGCTAGAGAATGAGAGAGATTTTAAACCATGGAGAAAAGGGCCATGCTTCAGTAGATGGTTTGATTTCAACTTTTGATGAACTCTCTTCAAAAAAAACCCAATGCATGGTTTTTATAGTTTCACAATTTAGTTTAGTGAAACAGAAAAAGAAATATTATTGATTGGTAACCCTATTATAATATAATTGCAAGAACGATCATATTGCATAGATTATGAATTTGTCAATTTTTTTTCATAGTCCTAACTTGAAATGGACTTCTGTTTTCAAATTTAGGATTTCTATTTTCTAAATGGGTGTGGAGAAAAATTTATAAATTGAATTAAGTTTGTGAGGATAATTTAGGTAGTAAATTTGGGTTTAAAAAGATATTGGTAGTTTAATTCAAAGTAATATGGGTGAAAAAAGTAAGTTAAGTGTCGAAAGAGGTTACCTGAGTTTAAATAAAATTTCCCTTTTGTAAATCAGGCTGGGAAAAAAAATGTAATTAATGCCAAAAAATGAGGCGGGAAAATAAAACCCACGAGGGATGGAGGGTTTGTATAGGATTTGGATCCTCTCCGGATCCCCTTCCTGGGGATCCCGGGGATCAAGATAGGAGAAATACATTTTCCTAGTACCATGTTTGGTAAAGATAGGAAAGTAAATATGAAATTCTGGAAAAAAAAAAAAAATTGTATTTTTATTTCGTAACAGGGATAAAATTGAAAAAGAAAAGTACGAAGAGTAATTATGGGCATATTTGGTTTTTCAACATTTAATGAGGATAATATTGTCCTAAACAAATGTGATTGATGTTCGAAGTGCGTAATAAATGACAAGAAAAAGAGTGGGTAATATGCAAACGGATTTGGATCCTCTCCGGATCCCCTCCCTGGGGATCCCGGAGATCAAGATACAAGGGCCGTTCATCAAAGATCGTGCGGTCACAATTAAATGCTTTTTATATTTTTAAAAGTAAAACAATCTCGTTTTGCGTAAAAAGCATTTAATTGTGGCCGCACGATCTTTGATGAACGGTCGTATTTTTCATGTATTCTTTTTCGCCTACCAAATGCACCTTAAAGCATTGATGAAGAAAAATATATCACTAATGTAGTATATATCCCAAGTCATCATTATGGTTCACTTTGTGTCTAGGATTGAAGTGGATGGTGTATGTCATAAAATTCAATGTGTGATGAATGAAAATGTGAAGATAGAAGCGTACGATTTTCATTTTTCTGGGGGATTAGAAGAATTAATTCTACTATCTTATGGGACCGAAATGAATGAATTTTCCTCATGGTATTTTTATTTTCACCTCACCTTAGGACAAAAAATTACTTCATTTCCTTAAAGAATCTATTAAGTTATCCAAATCATTTATGACCAGATCATACTTGAAGGCTTTGAGAGGGGAGATAGAGAGATAAGAAATATTTTACCTTGTGGGAAGCCAATTCCCTTTTTCAATTAATGGCACTATTACAAAAATATTTGGCTAAAAACCATTCCATGCCTCACATTGCAACATATTGTTTGTTTCAATATGTTTCTTCCTAATACATGACATGCATGCATTTGCTAGATATCTCATATCTTCTACTTTTGCATAAAAAAAGGCTAGGTGAGCACATCATCAGGCTGATCAATAAAGACAATGAAGTGAACGCGATGACTACCTAGCGCCACATATATGCTTTCATGCACCAATATATATATGTCAAACCACAAATTCATTGAACAACAAGATATACATAAATCCAGAGAGGAACAAAGGAAGAGCATAGAAGAACACCCCCTTCTGCACAACTTGGAAGCTCCCTTCTGACCCCTCTTCGATTATGGGCTCTAGTTTTGTAAAGCTGGAAGATTTTCTGTTGTGGGATGTCGAAATGGCCGCCGGTGCAACCTCTCCCCAACTCTGCATGCTTTTGAACCCCTTCCCCATTTTATTTCTCTCCAAACTCTTTGTATAAAGATTGCTTTTGAAGATCACTTGCTAGTTCCTTCTTCTTCGTCGTCGTCTTCTTCTTTTTGGAAGATTTTTCGGGTGAAGGGTTTTAATTAATTTAGGAGAAGAATGAAGAAAGGTTTTGAAGGAACTAGCAAATCAATGGTGTAGGGAATTGATCGTCAATATTATTGCGTTTTTCAATTGGGAATTAATTGGGATAGAGTGACATAGATTATATAGGGCTCAAAGGATGATTACGGTTCCGAAAATAGGGAAAGGAAGGATGGGTTTCGGAAACGTGAACCAACCAATATATTGCAGGCAAATCCATGTTTGAACATGTCTTAAAACTAAATTTCAAATTATGGTTTTTTTTAGCCAATGGAATCCATGAAACTTGTTAAATGTTTTTTTTTTTTTCACTCAAAAGGATATCAATTTTCATAAAATTAGGAAGGATAATAGAAAATTCATAGTCGTTGTGAAACCACATATTTATACCACATTGGTGCACTACATGATATGGCAAATGATTCCTACAATTGCTAGCCAATGAGATGAATTCATTAATTGATGTGTCAAGTATACATCATCTGTCACGTGAAATGGTACACCAATGTGCTATCCGTAGCATTTTCCATGTAGGTTACTTAAAAATAGAGACCAACTTGCATTTCACCCAAAATAAATTTTCATTCATCCTATAGTACAAGGATACAGAGAAAATCTTCCTCATGAAAAAAAGAAAAAAATATAAAGAGAAGAAAAAAAAAGGATCCCCTTTCTATTTTTCCAAGTACAATTTTGAAATCGCTTGAGATTTCGATAATTCGTGTGTGAGTGTTGATGTTAAATTACTTCCACTTGATTCAAACTATTCAAAAAGTATCATCACCTCTTCTGTTTGGAAATCTGTACATGCAGACGTGATGTCACATTGATTAAGACAGTTGTGTTTGTCGATATTTTCGAGTTTAAATTTCTTTCCCGCACGTATAAGTGTAATGGATTTTCTAACTAATTAAGATTGATATATGGTGTTGTTTGGTTATGTGTTTTTTTTATGTGTTCCTTATGCTTCCATTAAATAAATAGAATTTTTCTAAAATTCACTGGAACAAGAAATATTTCGAATTTTCAACCGTTAAATTTTTGTTTAAAAATAAAAAAAATCGAGATTAAATCTTTTAAAAAAATTAGGAGTTTACTGTGCTCCGAAGCAGGAGGCAATTCTTACTTACATGAGCACATCACACCAAGAATATGCCCCGTGGCCTCACTTCTGCCTGACATGTTTCAACGGTCACCACACATTCTCCACAGCCCTCTCCTCCTCAAATTCCTTCACTTTCCCGCTACCCAAACAACCCCTTTCAGCACGCTCTCCTCCCTCTTCAGCCTCTGCACCGAACCTAGAAAGCTCCAGCAAATCCACGCGAGGTTCGTCCTTCACGGCCTGCACCAAAACCCAACACTCTCTTCCCAACTCATCGACCGCTATGCCAACCTTGGCCTCCTCGGTCGTTCCGAACAGGTCTTCAACTCTGTCACCGACCCAAGTCCGATTCTTTACGACGCAATCATTAGAAAGCTGTCGGAGTTTGGTCAGTTCGAGAAAACCCTTTTGGTTTACAATGATATGGTCATGAAATCAATTTACCCAGATCGAAATACTTACCCTTTTGTTTTGAAATCGTGTTCGCATGCTAGAATTGGGGGAAAGATTCATGGGCATGTGGTGAAATTGGGCTTTGATTCGTATGATTTGGTGGGTGCTGCTTTGGTTGATGTGTATGGAAATTATGGTGGATTTGGGAATGCAGGAGAGGTGGTTGATGAAATGTCTGTTTGGGAGGGTGGTTTGGATTTTTCGATTTCTGAGGCTTCACGAAGTGGGAAAGCAATGGAGAAACTTGAGCCTGAATCGGTTAATTCAGTTACTGTGATTAACTTGCTGAGATCAAGTGTGGATTTGAACTCACTGAAGGCGGGAAAGGCTGTTCATTGTGTGGTGGTTGTGAGAAATTTGTGTGAGGATTTGTCTGTGAATACTGCATTGTTGTCTATGTATGCCAAGTTGGGTGATTTGAAATATGCAGAATTGTTGTTTGGAAAAATGCCTGACAAGGACTCTGTTGTTTGGAATATAATGATCTCAGCTTATGCTCGAAATCGGCATCCTAAGGAATCACTTGAGCTATTGAGATGCATGGGAAGATCAGGGGTTAGAGCTGATTTATTTACTGCAATCCCTGCAATTTCGTCAATTGCGCAGTTAAGAGCTACTGATTGGGGCAAGCAAATGCATGCTCATGTGATAAGAAATGGTTCAGATTATCAAGTTTCTATTCACAATTCTCTAATTGACATGTACTGTGCTTGTGATGATCTGAATTCGGCACAAAAGATTTTTGACTTGGTGCCGAACAAGACTGTGGTTTCATGGAGTGCAATGATCAAAGGATATGTAACCCATGATCGGAGTCTTGATGCGCTTTCTCTCTTCTCCAAGATGAAAGCTGATGGATTAGTTGTTGATTTCATTACAGTTATTAACATCTTGCCTGCTTGTGTGAACCTTGGGGCACTAGAGAATGTAAAGTACCTTCATGGGTACTCGATGAAACTCAGCCTTAACTCGCTTTCATCTGTTAATACAGCGTTTCTAGTTAGCTATGCGAAATGTGGATGCATAGAGATGGCCCGGAAGCTTTTTGACGAAGAAAACATCAACACTAAAGATGTAATCACAGTGGAATTCTATGATTAGCGCTTATGCTAAGCATGGAGACTGGTCTCGTTCATTCGAGTTGTACCACCAAATGAAGAAATCGAGCTTGAAACCAGATCAAGTAACCTTTCTCGGAGTACTGACAGCCTGTGTAAATGCAGGTCTTGTTCAGGAAGGAAAGGAATGTTTCAAGGAGATGGTTGAAAAATACGATTGCCAACCAAGCCATGAACACTATGCTTGCATGGTGGATCTGCTAGGGCGTGCCGGGCATGTCAACGAAGCCAGAGAGCTAGTAAAATCTATGCCTTTCAGACCGGATGCTCGGGTTTGGGGGCCTTTGTTGAGCGCGTGCAAGTTGCATTCGGAGACTGGAGTTGCAGAGTTCGCTGCTGAGAAGCTTATAACTATGGAACCGAAAAATCCCGGAAATTATATATTGCTTGCCAACATATATGCTGCAGATGGAAAGTGGGATAGAGTTGCTAAGTTGAGGAGTTCCCTCAGAAACTTAGGCCTGAAGAAAACTCCCGGATTGAGCTGGGTAGAGATAAACGGACTTCAACATGAATTCCGAGTAGCGGACCGTTCTCATCCGAGGTCCGACGGTATATATGCCATATTAAGAAACCTGGAGTGGGAAATCAAGGATGCAAGAGACAGAGATAGCGTATAGAAACGGTCATAAATTCCGATTTGTACATTGGATTTGGAGGAACATTTTAGCCTTCACTTCAATTCTTAAACACATTTAGGTTTTGATTTTACTTCCATAAAGTTTTACTCAAAACTCAAACAGCATCCAGAAATACAGATAATAAGCTCACGATTAAATGCTTTAACATCGATACAAACAAGTTCTAAGGCAAAATTGATATGTTGGATCAAGCAACGCCACTTTGGGTAACAACTCTCATGTTTCCGGTTTCTCAGCAACGCCAATAACCACACAGGCACACGCACAGGAAGCCATTACAAAGACCGTCAAGCCAATTTCCGTTGGTCAGCTAGTTTGATTTGGTTATAACTTATATGCCTTATGTTTCTGCATCGTGTTTCTCTTCTGGAACGCTTTTTCCAACCTGTGGCCGTTTGAAAGCTGTACAAGAAGGAACGAGAGAATAATAAGAGAACTGGCCACTTGACACAAGAATTACAGAACAATTCTACATTCATAAACATAATCGCATATTCAAATTGCAGCATCGGAGCAGGTAAATTGGAAAATCAAGATAGGTACTACGGTACTACACAAGCAAATCCAACTGCTCGGGAGAAAAAGATAACTCTAGAACAATACAACTAATAATTCACTATACATGACATCCAACAATAAAGTAATTCAAGCAACCACATAAGCAGAAATCTTACATTTAAGAGATGATCCAGCCAGACAAGTAAGCCTTGATTTTGTGTTAGCCTCGGCCAATGGATTTGCCTTCTCAGGTAACAGCCATGCGAACATCCCAAACACGTATAATCCCATCTGACGAGGCAGATGCCACAAGATAGGGATCCTCATTGACTTCAGCACCAGCTTTGCTTGTAAGCGTAACAATTCCCTTCACACGGGTAGGATGTGCATCCTCAATGCAATATGCAACTTTCCCACTTTTTGTGTCCCACGCTGTAATACTCCGGTCCTCACCACCGGTAAATAAAATTCCATTCTGTCAAACATTAAAATGTAAACTTAGGCAAACTGAAAGGTGAAAGATCTTACCAAAAGGCAATGCAATTGAGCAATTCCCTTAAACAAATGGAAGTTTAAAGACAGTATAATAATGGGTAATAAATATTTCCCCCACGGGTTGAACCCAACAGAACTACCCCATATACAACAAACACATATAGCTTTGTGTAAGGGTCAATTTGGGAATGCCCTCGGAAGGGCTAGAAGCACTCTTAGATAACCAAAAGCGCTTATGGCAGCGTTTGTGTTTGGGTTAATATTTGAACATTGGGCTGCAAGTGTGTGAAAACCCAGAGATGCCAATTAAGAGAAGACAGCATTAAGCCCAGAGACAAATTGGCGCCTTCCCATTAATGCATAGGCCATGTGCCTATGATTTAAATGTCAAGTGATGGAGACTAACTCACAATCAGCCAAAAAGTACTTTTCAATGGCAATACAAGTAAAAAGCTGATGACTCACTACCCTTCAAGTGCTTTCGGGTAAAAGCAAAGTTACTGCAGTCAGGCTAATTTGCCTATAAAAGGAGGAAGAGGCCCCAAAGACAAGGACACTCAACCAATCAAACAAACAAACAAGCACTCAACCAATCAAACAAACATGCAAACTTTGCTCTCAAGCCAGATTTGCATCTAAAAGCTGTAATTAGCTCAGATCTCAGTCCTTTTCAAGATATCCCCCTTACAAAAGCCATCTTTTGTCTTGTTTAGAAGCTTTGCTATCACCCCTAGTGGCGTAGTATGGATTCCCTTGTGTAAACTGGTTTACCATCCATCTTTTTCTAACATAGAAACCTCTGTAAACTCAAAGAGAAGTGATTGCAAGAAGTTCAACCTTGCCCGACAAGGTGAAATCTTGCTTAAAGTTCTTTGTGTGTTTTCTAAGATAATAGATCTACTGCTTAATGTATTCTCCAATATGTATTCAAGTCATTTCCGCATGTTTTCCTACTTTAAAAGTCTTATTTGTATCTGGATCTGGTCAGCTTAACGGACATGCTTTCATTTAAAACCAATCAAGAACCAAACAAATGACTTAAGGGATCTGGACTCTCCTCATTCGAATATACAAGACTATGAACTGAAAGTCCTTGGTCACAAGACAAGAAAAAGAACTTAATGTGGACTTAACCCATCCACAACAATTCTTTGATAACAAGAAGTCTGAGTAACTTGGGGCGCAAGTAATCGACTAAACACAATCTTGTTCTACATTTGCTATACTGAGGCACGCCTAGCACTTAGTTTTGACTGCGAGCCTCAAGGCCTACACCTAAGACCCCACAAAGGCACCTTTCAAAACTAACTATGCCCTTTTCTTGCAGCACATCAACAGGCAAGAGCCCGACTACACATCCAAAGTGCCAATCCCTTGGGGAGCTGTGCTGAGAGCCGAGGAGCCCTCTCCGGAGAAATCTTTGCCCGAACAGTTTGGCTTGGTGCTTTCTAGAGAAGCACCTGCAATTCAGAAAACACTTTCAGGTGCTTCTCCTGGAAGCACTTGGACTTTTAACAAAACTTTTGTTGTGCTTATAATAAAACAAGTTCTAGCATAAGTGCTTATGATCAGAAGTGCTTACAGAAGCAATCCAAACGGGCATCAAGTGCCTTAGGATACAATTTTTAGGATTCTTACGCACAAATCACAACAGCAGATAACCCGATTACTCACATTATCAATGTGCAGATCATAAACTGCAAAAAGGAGACAAATTTAACCCGGAACCGAAAACCCAAATGTCCGAAAACTCACCTCACCGGGCTCAATGCACAGAACCCGCTTTGAATTCTCGAATTCACACAGCAACTTAGCATCCTCAGCCTCATGAACCAGCACCTTCTCCTCCATAGTCATATAGAACTTCTCTCCGGAGAAATCATAGCTCACCAAGCTTGCCTCCTTCGCCACTCTGCAATAGAAGCTCCTCTTCCCCCTCACCAAATTAATCATCGCCAAGCACTCGTCTTTCCCCACCGTCAACGCCAGCTTCCCGGACGGGTGCAACGCCACGTCGTTAATCGCCTTCCTGTGCGGCTTGAGGGTCTTGAGGAGGACGAAAGGGTCGGCCTCGTAGATGCAGAGGGACCCCTCGGCGTCGGCGGAGATGAGGTTGAGGGGGAAGGAGAGGTGGGGAGGGGTGAAGAAGGATAGGGAGGTAACGGTGGCGGAGTGGTCGTGGAGGGAGCCGAGGGAGGTGGCGGAGGACATGTCGTAGAGGTGGACGGTGTCATCGGTGCCGCCGGATGCGGCGGCTGAACCAGCGGTGGCGACAGAGGTGATTGAGGAGAGGTGGGAGGGGTAGGAGAAGAGAGGGGTTAGGGTTAGGGATTGAGAATCGGGGCTAGGGTTTAGGGGTCTGAGCTTGAAGCCCCATATGAATTTCTCGTAGGAGCCGGCGATTAGGCTCATGGTGGAAATTGGCGCTAGCGGTTCTGCTGATTTTGCTTGATGTGCGTCTGCAAGGGTTTTAGGGAAGGGAGAAGGGTTTTAGTAGTCTTACCCGGAATTATTTTTTAGGAGAACTGAAATTGAAAACTTTGAGTTTCAACGTAAGTACAAAATAAAGAGTAAAGTGATAAGAACAAAACAAAGAGTAAAGTGAATAGTACAAGGATTGATATTTTAGTGTAAAAATGTGGTTTTTCGTTAAAGTGAACAGTATCAGAAGCTTTTCGTTAAAATTTCCTTATTTTTTTGGTTTTTTTAGCCAATATGTTCCATCATATTCACGTAATTTATCACTTTGGTACTTAAGATTTGAAATTAATAGTAATCTCTGACTTTGTTCATCGTCAATTATTTTGATTATTATGTGAAAATTTTCTAATATTTGTTTTTTTGTTAAAAGAAAAATCATTGGCTCATTATTTATTAAATTGAGAGCATTTTTATCATTTTGGTCTTTATTAACAGAACTTTTCACGAAAGAATGAAAATGTTTGACAATAAACAAACTCAGAAACTAATTCTATTAATTTCAAATCTTAAAAATCAAAATAAAGAGTTATGTAAATCGTATCCCCATTTTAGCTAAAAATTCTTATTTTTTAAATGTACAAAAATTTGACCCAAAAAGCCCAAAGGACAGGTGAGAGGCCCAAACAAACACATGTTTGAGACTCGGGGGGAAACTAGGAAACGCAGTCGTGAGTCCGTGTCCGTGTCCATGGCATAAACCGCAAACGGAAGAAGAGATGTAGAAGAAAGGTCAGGGTGGCACCTTTGCCGTACAATGTTGTCGGCTTATAATCATACCTAACTTTGTTTACCGATGTTGTACTTATATACATGTACAGAAACATCCTTGGTAATTCCGAGCTATTCATATTAGTGTGATTTGCCTGGAGAGGATTTCTGGGAATTCCGAGAGGGAAAAGGACCCCCTACCCAATGGGTCAAGAAGAAGAACAGCAACAACTGCAGCAGCGACAAGGAGAAGAAGCTCCTCCACCTTCTTCTCAGGAACCCTCCACCCAAACCACCCCTCCTCCTCCCCCGTTCGATCCCAGTCGAAGTAACCCTCTCTCTCTCTGCAACTAATGTTTTTAAGATGCCTTTTTATGTATCTGAATTTTTTGCATCTGTTTTTTTATTTTTTTATTTACTTATGGAATCATGGTTTATTGAAAGGTGTTGAATTTCAGAATCTAAGTTGAGTTTCTGCAGGTTGTATAATGCGATTTAGTTAAGGTTTACGTGTTAGAGCTTGTCAATCTGTTAAATTTTATGTTGGGCGAGTTCTTGTGACATTTGAAATATCGGGTCAGTGATTGCGATTTCTTGTGTAACTGCATCTGTGTTAAAAGTAATGTATTTCCCTGTAAGATGTTGGAACAAAGATGAATCCTTGTTCTTATGTTTGACATATTTCCATGTAATTTATGATTGAGAGTTCTGTAATCTTTCCCATTCTCTTTGAGATGGTTTTGATATGAAGCTCAGAACACGCGTTGATACTTCAATAACTGATGATAGAGGGCTAGTTTGAATGTGCTTTTAAAATGACTAAAAGTGCTTTTAGAGAAAATGTTTTTTTTTGTTCCAAAAGCCTTGAAGTGTTTTATACAAGAAGCACCAGTTATGTGCTTCTTCCAAGAAGCACTTTAAGTGCTTTTCCAAGATTTACTAGCATTTTTACTGAAGATTGTTTCTAAAAATATTTTCATCAAAAGTACTTTCAATTATTTTAAAAGCACATCCAAACGAACTCATAATTTGTCATGCATCCAAATCACATGTTGAAATTCATTCCCCAATTCAAGTGCTATCTCTCCTTCGGAAACTTCAGGTCAAATGTGTTGTTCTTGCCATTTACTGTTAAAGCAGGATTTGTTATTTGTTCCTTGTGGGTTCCGAGCACTGACATTGTAATGAACCTTTAGAAAGATCCTAACCTTTGTCATATTATTTTTTGAAGTGATTGGCATCATCAAAAGAAAGGCCATGATAAAAGAGTTAGCTGCTGCATACCACGCAGAGTGCCTCGCATACTGTCAAGAGATTTTGGAACTTCAAAGGAAATCGGATGAGGTCAGAGACGATGCACTCTTATTTATTTACAAGTTTCTTTTGATTTATTGTTACTCATCTGATGAACACGTTATGCATGTTTACGCATTGTGGAATGCGTTAATTTGACAGTACAGTCTAACTCCCTCATCAAGTGATCTGTATATTCGAATTAAACAGTTTGTCTAGGAACGGCAACAAAGCAAAGGGAGGGTCAGTTTTTCCGTCCCCACCTTGTCCTGCTAATAGAGTTGAAATGGGTGGCGGGGAGATGTTACGCTTGCTCCCTGAGTGTTCTGATGAAACTGGTGTTCGTTTGATTAGAATTCCTGTGATGCCTTCCCATTCTGGTCAGTTGTAATTACATCTCTTGAAATCGGAGTTAGAGTATAAGCACTCTCTCCGTCCCTAGACTCACTCCCATCAAGACTGGTCCGCATGGGGCTTGGCTAGTAACGCGTTGATGACTCTTGGCTTAGGCGATAATGCTATGTAGTGTAGGTTGGAGTTTGGTAGGTCTACGGTGAATAGTTTTCCCGTTCTATGGCTTGAAGGATATCTCGGAAACTTATTATGCCTTGAAAAAATTGCTTAGTTCTCATTAATCTTCTCGATTATGGAATTTCGCTGTATGTTTGTCGTGAGTGTTGGTTTTAAGTTTTACATAATGATGATTTCCTTTCAATTGGTTCTCACTCTTGGTGGATTTTGAATATGGTTGCAGCCATTTATTGACCTGAAACCTCCAGAGGATATGAAGAAGGAGATAATGCGGCCCCCCAAGCGTCTAAAGAAACCCGCTAGACACTGATATTGTTGTTAGCAGCTTACTCTCGGATATGCACAGAAAAGTTCCTTGAAGCGCAGTTCCCGACTTTCGGTTTGTTTAGGCACAACACAGGATACAAAAGTTTATCATCTCATATGATGAATGTAAATTTCAAACGATGCACAAAAAGTGCCCTGTTATTTTGGTCATAACGGTTGCAGAAGCAGCAGTTTGTAAAAATTGGTAATCGCAAGGGAGCTTCCTTTGTCTTGTTTTGTGTAGGTTTTACTTATCAAATGTGGATCAGATGAATGCTATTTGTCTGAATGTATCTTGTTTGAGTGCATGTGCGACTGCTTCAGTTGGAAGCACTTATTCACCTGGAAGTGCTCTTGATTGTTAGAAAGTGCTTTTAGACCTTCCAAAAGAAGGCGCAAACATGCCCTCACAAGAATGGTACTTAATTAAGTATAACAATGGCATTATCCTCGCAAGAAAGTCAAGTAGGGTAATTGTATTCCAAAAGTTCAAATTTCGGTGAAGTACAAAATTTACAATGCTCACGTTGTTTTACTTCACGTTTGTGTACACGTCTATATCCCTTTGCTGTTGCTTAAACGATTTTGAAGATGTTCTGTATGGATGTCTCGCCGATTAGTTCTCCTTACCTGCGAAAACATAGGTAATCCGCTTAGCAACAACAAAAATCGAAGAGCTAGAATAGGAAGGGTGATTAAACATGTTGAACATCAAGTTACCTACCTACGTTTTAACGATGCCCAAATCTTTTGCAACGGGCAACTTGGGGCCGGTGTTTTAAATATTGACCCCCACATCCTTTGCAACGGGCAACTTGGGGCTGGTGTATTAAGCATTGACGCCCACATCTTTCGCAATGGGCAACTTGGGGCTGGTGTATTAAACATCGACGCCCACATCCTTTGCAAAGGGCAATTTGGGGTGGTGGGTGAAGAAATCTGCCCTTTTGCAAGCATTTCGGTTGATGATCCGATTTCATTAACAAACTTGACGGATTCTGAGAGCCGATTTAGTAGGTTCATCAAGGCAATCACCTCATTCCTTTGCAGGTGCAGCTGAAGAACAATACAATAGAGTTCAGTTGAAATACAGAGTGTGTCGGACACTCGATTACACCTACAAATTATGTACAAATGACAAGTAGCATTGAATCTTCATGCATGAGTTGGCAAACGGAATTAAATAAAATTGCACTTCCATTTTAAATTGATGAGAATACTCATGTGGGATGCAGGTACACCTGCGGTCCGCAACACAGGAGTCATAGAGATGACCATACGGTCCATTCCCACAAAAATCACTCTTGATGTTGATGGTAAGTTTGTATGTGCCATATGTCATTTTTAACAAACTAGGAAATGAGGTCGACATGGCTTACTGCGAGTTCCATAATTAGGATCCATTAGATAAGCCATAAAATCACAACTAGAATCTTAACCTCTATCATAATTAGGGTCGATCAGATAAGCCAAAAAATCTTGGTTACTATAAAATAGCTGTTGTGTACATGTCTCTAAATCAAAGGCAAAAGACTCGGGGAAAGAAGGGTCCATTAGCAAACTTTTGAGACCTTACTAAATGTGCCATACAGAATTAGCTTTTAACGAGATACTTACAGTTTGAACAGCATTTTGTTGACCGTCAACAGAGAAGAGGATTTTAAGTGCAGTGCCAAGACCAAGGACCTGAAGCTTCCCCCAAAGTCGACATTTTTCGCATCCGACACAATCCATCAATGCACTACAATGATAATGCAAACATTTAAATTAGTCACGTAAATGATATGGTTCTGAAGACACCCGGCCCCAAAAAAAATACACACACGGACACACACACTCATATCCATCAATGCACTACTTAGTTGATGCCAGTTAAAAATTCGGGATACCCTCAACATTTTCTACGAAAATGATAATCATGATCAACTACTATGTATAAGACACTAAGGCCAAAAGAAAACCTATGATACCTGATGTTTCTGAACTGTTTCTGTATTTTCTGCTTTAGTTCAGGTCCACGTTGGCCTTTCCACAGCTTAGCTTCATCAAATGGGACAGGGCAAGCAGCTTGTAGATTGGGATTATAGAGTAGCTGTCTCACCAAGGATTGTGTCTTCAGATCCTCAGTAGGATTACCAGTGTCATATTCAGCATGTTCCAAGTAATCTGCAGCCTGAATGCATTTGACCAAGATTGATATTATTGTCTCAGAAAGAATAACAATATGAAAAGCAAAGTGAAAACTGTTGTCAGTAGACTCAGTATGCTTCAGTATCCCTGCCAGTAAGAATAACATAATACTTTGAAAAGGATTCTAGCTTATACCCACCTTTGTCACTGCTCGGAGAACGAAGAGATATGTGAAGTACAAGTTTCTGACACGGTCTGGGTATCTTAGGACCCGATCAGACAACAATGAGAGATTTGGACCCCACTGAAACAGAAATTTTAGAAAGAAGAAAAAGAAGTAAGATCTTTACATATAAACAGTATGAAATGTTTCAGAAACCATGGAAACTGTGTGTTGTCTGCATAAAATGTAAGTTTTAAAGGAAATGATATATCAGAACTTGTACCGTCTGTGTAGTTTCATCAAGGAGATAATCGGAAGCTATGTGGACTGAAATAGAGGAATGAAGACCCGATATCAACTTGTACAGAATTCTTTCTTCAGCGCATAACTCTTCAGATGGATCTAGAGACGAAGTTGAAAATGAACACGATACTTAGTCTTAAATACAATGAAACATGCAGTGCAACTGTCCAAAAGATTAACACTAAGTGTATAAACTGAAATATATCTCAGAAGTTTAAAAATAAGCATACAAGTCAACTGAAAAACACATGCAAACATTTTGAATAGGAAGATCGAAACCCACTACGTAACATAATTACGGTCAACAGAAGTTAATCTGCTAATGAATAGACACCCAAAGTAGAATGGAGTACAACCGGAAATGGACACAATGATATCAAAAGATCCCGGCTAACCCAAGTTACAAGATTATGGTGCCCGCAATAGTCCAACAAAAGGGTTCGATAAGAGCTTCAGCTCCCATTAAACTTGTGCAAGTAGAGCAACTTTTAAGAAGCTTTAATAAGCATTTATCGACTAACTTACATGTCTATAAACAATAGACAAGAACATTTTAGTTACATTCATTAGAGTGAAAGAAAAAAAAAAGGAGAAAATATCTTACATTTAGGACAGTTCTCTGCGTAGACAGCATCCCATATCCTTCTAGCAGATGGACCAGTGTAGCCGGTATATCGTTCAGGATTCAGTTGAAGATTCACATATGTCATCTCAGCTGCAGATTTAAATGTGCAGTTAATCAATGCAAACTCAATAAAATATTTTCGAAGAAGATACAATTGGCAGGAATGGCATTCAACTGCAAACATAAGCTAACATATACGAAACAGAACTGTTAAGCTGAGAAAGAAAAGCAAGGATACAAACCATTGTCTGTCTCATCGTCATTTGTCCAGGGATTATCTATTTCTGTCCATCCTCTGAAAGCTTTATTATCTAGTGTACGATCAACAGCTGCTTCAGGCTTTCCCTCCTGACAAACAAGATCATCCACTGGAAGGCCATGATAGGGTTTCTTGAATGACTCGGGGAACTCACTATCCGGGCATTCGCATACACTGCAATCCCGCAGACGGCACATACCATCATCAGGCCAGAAAGGGCAGTCGCACCATAACTTAACCTAATACAAATTATATCAACCATGCTCCACAAATCAGATACACAGCAGAACAACCGAGTGCTAATAATAAATTTCAAGAATCGTATACGGCAGCAAAGCATCAAATATCCGATTAATTGATACTCAAACATGCAAATCTAGCCAATGTATACGGATCATCTAACCTACCTTGAAATACCGGAAGAACGGAGTTTGGACAAGTTCTTGGAGTGATGGATGCAGAACTTCCTTGTTAAGATGGTCTGCGGTCTCATAATCACAACAACAATCCTCCACTATCCCACTGTACTTATGCGTTTCCTACACAGATCATGACAGGGGTAAAAATTAAGCAAAAGAACAATCAAAATCCCAATTTTAACAACCAACAGAAATAAAATTTAAACTTTAAATAACATCAAGTCCAATTTTTGCACATATTCAAACAACAAACCATTCATCTGATTAATGTAAAGCAGGATTTAAATTCAGCACAATTCTGATTAAACAATTTCAACAATATACCATCTTACTTACAATGACCAATAATTTAAAGCTCAAAACTTTCACAACCAAAAACCAACTTTTCAATTTTCTCATGACATTTTCCCTCTACTTTCTCGGCAACCAAACAGAACATGCAAGAAACCATACCTGAGTACAATTACAAGCCTTGTTAGACCGTCCAAAGAACGATATCTTCGGAGCACGTTGGGATGTCATGGCGACGGCAACGAAGACGGCGATCACCGCCCCGACGACCCAAACCCATCGCCTCGGTTTTCCCTTCGCCCCAACCATTAATGCAACAAAAATTGTGAGCAAAAGCCTATAAATCTCAATAAAACCCTGTTTGTTTCCCGAGAAAATGAGGAAGAAAATTATGGGTTTTTGGTTGTGATCTCTGCTAGCTTAGCTGGGAAGGAAATGTATTTATAAGGAGGGTAAGTTTTAATTGGGAAGAATTAAAGAGCGGTAAGTTTTGTTTGATGGTTTTTGGGGTGATTTATTTGATTTAATTAGGCGGCGTAACTGTGGGCGAGAAGGAAAGTGCCGGGAAAATCAACGGCCGACTATGGGCGGGTGGGAAAGGTCCTAGAAAAATCGGCGCCAACGGGCTTCGGGAAGGAGGTGAGAATTTAGGGCTGGGCCGAGTCAGGAAATATTGGGTTGGATTAGTGTTTTTCAATCTATGGCTGAGCTGGTTTGAAAGCCCAAATCTGAATATGCGCAATGAACTAAGGGCCCTTTGCCCTTCAACATTTAGCCTAATTTTAATGTCCCACTGTTATAAATAGACAAAAGTTAAAAAGATAATCTTTACTAGTGACAGGAACGAAGTAGGTGTAAAATATCATACTATAACTATAACACAAGAGGATGACAAATAAAAGAGGGAGGGATGATGTTATTGATCTTTTCTTCTTCTCAGTCTATTTTGATAGCACATGAAGCGCTCTATTTATAGAGCAACTCCAAACAAGCGTAATAATTACATTTTAAAATTTACAGCACACACATTTTGAAAATACAATCCTTATTCATTTCCCTAATCAATATTACTGTGTAGGCATTCATTAACCCACAAATATTTTCAACACGCACAACAT